CCTGCATAAAATTGCTAATCTGTATAGGCCGCGGTAATTGTGTAAGTATTCCTTTTCCGAAAATGCTGAATTTATAATTCTAGTTAATTTTTTTTGGCAAAATAGCAGCAACACAAAAATTACATTCCTTTTTTTCACACCCTGAATACTATAGAAAACTAAATCTCATACAAAATTTAGAAAAATCGCATCAATCTACGAAAAACGATCTTTAATATGCTAAAAAATCAACATCGGTCCATTTTTTTCAAAGTTACAACTCGGAAAATGAGTAAAAAAATCGCTGTGGTTAATTTGACGGGCAGTTTATACAGGGTGTCCCAGAAATAAGTGCAAATATTTTAAGGGAATCTGGTAGATCTGGTCAAAAGAATTTTTTTTCCTCTTTACCGTTTTTCCAATAAGTCCAAAATAACCGAGTTATTTTACTTTCAAAATTTCCAAAAAAAAAAAAAATTTGCTAAAATTTTGAGAACCACTGGATTTTTTCTGAATTTTCTTTTAAGTAAATTTAAGCTACTACCTATGTTGCCATATTATCAAGAAATTATGTTTTTTAACTTAAAATTAAAAAAAATTCTGTCCAGCAAACCCCATTTGAGCAAATTGGATTTTACTGATAATTACTACAACGCTATTTTCAGTGTTGTGTTATTTATCAGAATGTTTTTTTTTCTGTCTACCAGTTCGTTGTACATTACTTTAGTTTTTGCTAAATTCATTTTGACCTACTTTATTGCTGGTTGTATTTAGTTGGTTAATTTGTACTTTTTACATTTACATTTTAGGACTATTGGCAATTAGGACTATACAGGGTGCTACAAATTCGAGGTACGAGCAACTCGGTAACCGTAATAGATACGAACATGGGTAAATTGGAGCAAAGTTGCGCTTTGGGATGTTTACCAAGATGACATCAAAAAGTTTAAAAAATTTCAAGGATTGCTGAGTTTTTTGGAAAAAACGGATATTTTTGAAAATCAATTTTATTTTTTCCTGTCGATACTTTTTGGAAAATCAAAAAACTAATTGCACATTCTCATAGCCACTTTATTAGGGCTATCTGATAGTATTTTTAGATTTTCAAATTAGCTGATAATTTGTGAGATACAGAGGCCAACTTATTTTTTTTAAATACGGACCTGCATTTTTTATTTCAGATTTTGAAAGAACTCGCTCTCCTGAGTACAATGATATGCCATACTTAATATTCTTTATGTTTTGGAAATTTTGACACAATTTATTTAAACTAATTTCAAGTCCGGCTCTGTTTTTTTAATATTTAATATATTCATCGTTACAATATTGATAAGCTTTTAAACTTAACAGCGATGTAGGTTGGATACGGAAAATCAAATGCAATAAAATAATAAAAAATAATATAAATAAAAGATATTATAAACAATCCATTTCCCCGGAAGATGGATTGGAAATGGAAGAGCAGTATAAATGGCCAGCGAGGTACATGGACCGTCTGATGACGTCAAGTAATTCGACAGGTCCAAATTTTACAAAAAAGTAAAATCAGCATATCTCGGCAGTTACAAAAAAGAGTACAAAATGCAAAATGCACTCAAAAGTATAAGAAGATCTATTCAAAAGCTATAAATAAAATTGAACGGAAAATAAATTTGTGCCATAAGGAGGGTGGTAACCCTTTCGAACATGTAGACTATGTAAAGCATTAGAAACTAGTTTGTACAAGTTAATTGATTCATAATAAGTACGATTAATATTATGCAAATTATTAGATCTTACAATGAGAATTGCAAATTCATAATAAGAAAAGTTAAAAATAATATCTTTAAATTGCTGATCTGGATATTATTTATTTGAATCTTTCAATTGGCTCAATTTTCCTTATTCAATGTTAATTAGTACTGATCAATATTGTTGCGATGAATATAATCAGATTAAATAATTTAAAAAACAGAGTCGGACTTGAAATTTTTTTAAATTATTGTAGCGTTTTTTTTATAAACATTACCACTGCGAACGGCAGCTTCTCATCGGAGAGCAGTCGTGGATAAGGTATTTCATTGGAAAGAAAACTAATTAATAACAATAAACAAAAAAAATAGATATTGGGCGCCAGGCATGTACAGAGAAAGAAAACACAGTTGTATATTACTTAAAACTAATGAATATATTTATTCATGATGGACTGTGATGGTAAATAGCATTGTACAATTTTAATAATTATTATAGTGGTTATATGTCAACGAAAGTGGTGTTAAGAATTGTACTAAATATCTATGAAAACAACTATGATAAAATACAAGACATGTAAAGTTTAAGAGAATATATGAAATGTAGCATTACTTTAATTAATTTGATATATTTTATATGATGTTAAATCGAAGATGTTGCAACCTGTAGATTTTAGAATCTATGTTTGGTTATTCATCTCTTAAAATAGTGCAATAGTAATATCTATAAAAGTAATACCATTACAAGACGTAATGCAATGAAACCTAAGATCTAAATTATATTTTAAATATTAAATTGACATGAATGTTCTTAACAATCTAACCACCACTAAATATAGTCTGTACGATATCGTTTAAAATGTACGTTAAGTTAAGACTGAAAATCGACTGAAAACCAGAACCTAAATCTACACTTAGCTGTTCTTGAGGCAATCCTGTTTCGAAGAGTAGCAGCGTGAGGTGGGCTCATATCTCTGCACTGTCTGTCGGCGATCCTGTTGGCCAAAACAACAAAAGGGGCCAGAATAAGGACACCATGAATCACTACAGCCGTAGCTACTGACTAGGCTTAGAAATGGGAGCGAAGCAGCATGGGGCTTACGCTGTATCCATAATGTGGCAATATGGGGACACTATCCGTACCTTGGAACACTACTAGGACCTTGGATAATGTCTGTAACCTGGACCATAACCTTGGACACAGTCCGTCCATAAGACAACGGTACAGGGGAACACTACCCGTACCTTGGATACTACTAGGACCATGGATAATGCCCGTACCTTGTAAATAGTCCGTACCTTGGACCCTAAAAATATGAAACTCTTGTTTAAAACCAAACAATAACTAACTAAACCAAATAAATTATAAGGCTTGAACGATACGGAATCCGATGACGAGACGCCAGACATCATATATATCATATATAAAAAAGACATGTAACGAACTAAAAACGTTACATTATAATTAAATAATTTTGTTGCTGTTATGGTACTCAAAACAAAAAAAAGTATAAAGTGTGGCATATCATTGTACTCAAAAGATTGAGTTCTTTCAAAATCTGAAATAAAAATGCAGGTCTGTATTTAAAAAAATTAAGTTGGCCTCTGTATCTCACTAATTATCAGCTAATTTGAAAATCTAAAAATACTATCAGATAGCCCTAATAATGTGGATATGATAATGTGCAATTAGTTTTTTGATTTTCTAAAAAGTAACGACAGGAAAAAATTAAATTAGTTTTCAAAAAAATCCGTTTTTTTTCCAAAAAACTCAGCAATCCTTGAAATTTTTAAAACTTTTTTGGTGGCATCTTGGTGAACAGCCCAAGGCTCAACTTTGCCCCAATTTAACCATCTTCGTATCTATTACGGTTTCCGAGATACCAATGCTCGTACCTCGAATTTGTAGCACCCTGTATAGTCCAAAAATAGCCAATATCTTAAAAAACTACAAGCATAAATTATAATAATCATCATTTATTTTTCTATTTGCATAATGGAATGGGAAAACAGTGAGAAAAGAGCATGTTATTTGAATCTAAAAAGATTATTCAAATACTGATTATTTATATTATTATTCAAATAACCACTTAACAATACTTCAATCAAGATGAAAATATAAAAAATATAGAGAATAATTGACAATAACTTTCAAATCCATTGGCCTCAATCAATCCAAAACATTCGGCCAGTGAGTCATTCATACTACCAGATTGACAAAAAATCACGTCACTTTACTATTAGACTATACGAAATTAGCCGGGTGACTTAGTAATTCATAAGAAAGTATACAAAGTTTTTATGATACAATAAACCGTATAAATACTACAGGGGGTGTTATTTATTATCCTCTAATATGTAAGAATTTTATTAAAACAATCCAGGCATATTTAATGGTAGAACGAAAGTGCCTTTATGCAGTCTCTAATATTTACTTAGACAAAATGCAAATTTCTCTCGGCGTTTTAAGCTGCATGATTTAATTTCATCCGGGGCAATATTAAAAGTTTTTTCATTAAGACCGCATAAGAGCGACTGTTTATTAAAAATCTTCGAACTAGAACCAAACAAGACAGCAAAGAAATAAGAGCACTCCACGCCCGCCTTAAGGAATCTCCTTTAATAAAATTCTTTTCTAAAGAGATTCGCATTTAGTAATTATCTTACAATCTACCTTTTAATGTGCAGTTATCTGCTGGAGAGTATATTTATCTACAAGAATATAAAACGTAAAAAGTTTTGGTACTAATCGACAATTTTAATAGCTTCTTGCAAATCCAGAAGGACTAGCTATTGGCTTATTCTACTGCAACCTTTACATATCTACTGTGGTTCTTTTTTTATCTTGAGATTACATACTCCAGTCATATCCTTCGTACCCTTCGTCTAAGTTGAAGAGTGAAATGTGTTATGTTATTTCTTTTTTTGTGACAGACGCACGTAGCTTCATCCATTAATCTTAAATAGTAGTCCCCGATTAGTAGAATCACAATAATTTTGACAGATTTCCTACCTATACTTATTAGATCTGCCATTAAATTTTTTAATACCACTTTACTAAATTAATTTATGAAACCTTCGGATTAAAACCATCTATTTCTCATCTCGTTTTTATCAATCTCACAATATTCATTACTAACTAAACGAACAAAATCATAATAGCCAATTATTTCAACCATTGTTGACCGCTCCGTATTTGGAAATAAAACGAAACAGATTATTACTTATTTACAGTACCTGTAATAACTCGAAGACTTACTTTTTCCAGGCATGGTTTATCATCATCATGAGCATCACCTGGGTAGGCTCCATGTCCCTCTTCAGCCTCCTTGTCATCAAACATGGCGGTTTCTACTTCAACCCGACGGGAATGCACGCCTGCGAGCCATTTTACCCCAAGGCCTCGCTCAGGATCTTGGCGGCATGCGGGTTCTACTTCCCCACCACCATGATCCTGATGTACTGTTATGGGTCAGCGTTTGACGTCAACAAATTAGGATTTAAGAAGGCGCCCAATAGTTGTAATACTATATCGAGTCCAAACGAACAACCGGTGAGGGCGACTAGTATAGAAAAAGTAAGTGTTTGCATAGTTTTTTCTTTATCATATATAGAGTGTGTCAGAAATAAGTGATATTCGAGAGATAATGTATTTTAGAATATAATGATGAATATAAATTATAACATCTTTCTTTATATTTCTTTTCGTGTAATATATTCATTAGGAAACAAAAAATATTATACTTAGTATATTTTAACAACATTTAACATTTTTACTAGTGAAAATATTGTTCTTGATACATTCAAATAATCATCTAAAACCGTACTTAATATCCGATGCAATATACAAATAAACCAAAGACTTCCCTTATTCACTTATTTAGAAATAAACACAAAATGAAAGTTGCAATTTTTTCTTATCAAACTTCTTGAGAAGTTATTACATTCTAATAAAACATTACACAAACTTCTACTTGAGGGTTTGTTATGATATGTATCAGGTAAATAACGTATAAAAAATGATTGATAACCACCTTTTTAAATTAAAAAAGTTTTTCGGTTAGGTATCGCTTTTTTGGTATTTTTCTTTGTTTGACAGTCCTGGGTAACAAAATGAACAACGCAAAAATATATAAATTCAGACATGGAAATGAAAACTTTTAGTTTTTTTTCTTAGTTTCGGCCAAGTAAATGCAAAAGTATTTCTTCTATAAAAGGAATTTGGCGCTAACGAAACTATTCTAAAGGTAAAAATATACCAAAAATACCCCTAAAAAGCCATTATGTAGAAAAGGGTGTCTCATATTTAACGCATTAAACAGTCACAAAACGCGCGTTTAAAAGCCCTGCTATCTTTAATATTAAATGTTGATGTAAATATGAGAGTAGAAGGATAGAAATTAAACATAGAAATTTATCTTTTTTATCAGTAGAACTCATACAAAAAAATCTTAATTAGTAAAAACACCTTTAGTCTGTCCAACGACAAGATCCTTGACAGTGATAGATGTGTCTGTCATTTTAATTCCAGAGTAGCTTATTTTATTTTACAAAGAAATAAGTTGGTACAGTTGGAACGCATAGCCAGGAAATTAATATATTTAAAATTTGAGTGACAAGTAATTACTTCAAAATATTGTAAAAAACTATATAAAACTGAAAAAAATCTAATCGAGTTATTTATTTAAAAAAACGGTACATGTTAATACAAAACAAACAAAAACATAACACCATATACCAAAAATATAAAAAATAACTATTTTTTACTTTCAAGCTTCAAGAAACTTCCCGCACTTATTATTTTATTTATCAATATAACTCATATACAAATACAAATTTTTAATATTCCACAAAACAACATAAATAAAACAAACTATTGTATTAATAATAACACTTGCCGAATTTTATACCTTAAAGGTTGATTAATTAACTTTAATATTATTTTTTTTAAACCAGTACCTTTTGACATTATTTTTCTGCAGTACTAAAATCCATTATACCTATCGTGTGATGTCGTTATTTTACAACTACTCCAGTTTTTAATATATGTTTAGTACGATCCTTGTACTATATACGAATGCAGTTATTTATGACGAGATGGTATACAAACTTTATTGATGTAACTTTATTGGTGTATAAGTCTTTCTGCCTGGGCACCGAGTATTAACTATAAACTGTGCTCTGGGTCTACAGTTAATTTTCCCTCGATTTTTCCTCCACTTGATTTCAAAAGACATAAAACACACGTAATAACACCAATCAAAATGCATCATCTTTGAAAACGCAAACATCTTCGAAATATTTGACATAAGTTGACACAAAATTATAACTTATAATTTAGCAAGCCTCAAAAATCTAAAGGCGAGTTCATACGCATCGGCGTGCGTTTGTCGTTCATCGTTCCGTCAAACCAATAAAATTAAAATATGATCTATCATTTTTGAAATAAACCAATAAAACTGGTTAAAACAAAAAGAGACGACGCATGACGGATTTATATTTAAACTCATCCATAGTCAATTTAAAAATTATTAGAAACTTTTTTTAGTAATTTTTTAGTAAATAAATTGGTATGGACGTCATCTACTTTTTTCCTGTCATCGTCTGTCGAAATCTTACCTGAGAAAAAAAAACAGAGTATATTTTATTTACTTCAAATCAAAATACATTAAAATGACACCGTGGCAAAACATTAAATAAAGTGTAAAACAATTATGTTAAATTAAAAATGGGAAAACATATGCAATGGAGAAAAAAGTGGCATTAAAATATTAACAGTGTCACTTAAAATGTGAAACAAAAAATATGAATATACCAATTAACGAACTAAATATTTCTCAAAAGCTATTGAGAGCAAAGTAGTGTGTCTGATATTTGTGTTATTAAATTAACAATTATGGGGTGCCCGGTGGCGTAGAGGTACAGGCTCTCGTCTACCAATCTCAAGGTTGTGGGTTCGAATCCTACACCCGGCATTTTATCAGCCAACTATTTTTATTAAAATAAAAATAGTTTGGGTACCTAGGTCAACTCAGCCTTAAATGAGTACTTGGGATTCACAATCCTGAGGTAATAATAGGCGGTTGAAGCGTAGTGCTAGCCACATTACCTTCCTTGTATATCGAACGGCTCTAGCATGGCAAGCTGTACCTTGGTACTCCCAGGGCGTTAAACGCTATATACGGGAGCTATTATATTATTATTATATAAATTAACAATTATTTTAAGTTATCTATTTTTTTAGAAACATATATTTTTATAACAATTCTAATAACTACTGACATTTATTATTATTATTTTTTATGTTTTTTTTGCTTCTGACGACGGAAAGAGATACTTTTTGAAAAGTTAACCATTTTTTTGTCCGTTAGGCAAATTTGTTAATTAGTAAACCACTGCCGACAATTTGTCTCCGTTGGATAAACCCAGCAGTGTTTACAAATAATAACAATTTTAATTTGTAGATTTTCTTACAGTGGCAAAGTACCCATAGGAATTGCGCTTTACCCAATTTTTTGATATGCTCTTTCCTTAATCTTTTTTTATTCAAAAGGGTGTAATAATTAATTAGATACGTTGTTAAATAAAATCTGAGCTAGATTTTAGACGTTTCACTCTGCTCTCGTTGACTTTCCCGTATAAATTCGTCTTTCTCAAAATTATGACCGATTCCTATTCAAGCAGACCGGCCACGGAGCCAGAACCTTGGCGATAAAACCGCCACATCTAACCGGTAGTCCGTTTGATACGTCGCACACGGATTTCCTTTCAAGTTCCGTCGCCTCGGGGGAGTTTTTACCGTACCGCCCGACGGGGATCTAATAAACTGCTCCCGATCGACCGACTTTACACGTCAATAAGCCCGGTCTTGACTTGGTGAATTTGAGAAGCTAGCACATAATAATAGTTGTTTTATTATTTAGGATCTATTTCAGAGACCACCGTGTGTAAGTTATGGTATCATATTATTGTTATATTCCTGATCCCGTGGGTTCCTGTTATACTTAAATATAAAAAACAGCACTTTATTAAATTATTAACTTAACGCTTATACTAAGGGCTGGCAAAGGTTAGTCTTGGGTCGAGATTTCCGAATGTAAGAAGAGTACGATGCCGTTTACAATGAACTGAACAAAGAGAGAAGAGTAAACACGTTGCCAAACGTATGAAATAAACCGAGAAACTGTGCACATTGCTAAGAGACGTGGAACGGGATATAGCAACTGGTGGACCCAATCGGTACCTCTGTCAGTACTTAAAACTACGGAAAGGTGTACATCATGCGTATAGCTTCACGATTTAATTACCTCTCGTGATACTTTATTTGTTTATTTATTAATGAGTCGTTGTAATTTTCCCTATATCTTGTAAATTTTTAAGTGCAAGCTAGAAACACTTGCATTTTTGGTAAAAATAAGTGGAGTTGAGTTGGTGTTCGACAGTGGTCGCGCTATTAGAACTCTACAGGATGTTAAAACGTTTTAAAATTCGATTTTTTGTAATTATCTTATATATCATTATTTTTTTTATTTGGCATAGCTGTAGGTTGGACTAATAGTAATAATATTTAATAGTAAATTAGGTAAACTATATAATTTATTAATTTTAATTTTATTCTAATTTGATTAATTATTGTGATTAATAAAATTGCGTTTTTATCTCATCAAGGAAGCCGATTTCGACAATATATCAAGAGATAACTTTTAATTCACATTAAACGGCCTACATAATTTTGATATGAAAATAAAAAAAGTCAGTGGCGCACATGTTTTATTTTTGAAAAAGATTCCAGTGATAAAAGATTAAAATATGTAGCACTCATAGTAACATTTACTAAAGAGAATCACTAAAGCTTCATTCAGAACCTCGCAATTAGTGGAATAAATTAGTGGTTTCAATTACTCTTTATACTTTTAAATTTACGATCATTCACAATGTCTAAAAACACAATTAAAATTAACAGAATATCTTAGCAATAACTTGCGTCAGTCAGTTGTATCCATAGAGAAAGCCTAATATTTATCTTTTAAAACAATCAACTTTTGATCCCTAACCACAATTTCTCTTGACGGAAGATAATCAAAGGGTAAAATGACATTTGTCGCAAATTTTGAAGTATAATTAGTCGAAAAGTTAAAAGTTTGATAACTTTTTCTACTAATTGAAAATGACTACTACCAATTTTGACGTTCTGAATGCTTACATTGAAATTAAAGGAACAAACTTCTACGCTAATTGAAATCACTAATTTATTCCACTAATTGCGAGGTTCTGAATGAAGCTTAAAAGTATTTGTAAGAAAATTATAATAAATCGAAAAATTATTAAGACTTAAACACCCTCTAGCTACGAAATAAAGCAGAATCGGACGGATATTGACAGGAAAAATAAATCCTATTTTTACGTGAGGAATCTCCCCACGAGAGATGGCACATGTTTTTTAAAACACCCTGTATAACCAGACATGTTATCATGCCTGGATATTTCTTATAATCTCTTGTACCGCACACCTTTTTTCCCTACCACACACCAAGTCTACGGTACGAAATATTTACCGAATATATCTACGGATGATTT